CTATCTATCTATCTATCTATCTATCTATCTATCTATCTATCTATCTAACATATATCATATATAATATATAAATAAAATCAACAAAAATACACTAAGAAAAAAAAATTCTATATCTAAGTGGACAACATTTTGTTTCCTTTCAATTAATTGCATCAATCCTTTTTAATTCTAACTAATAGATATATGTGTCACGTCTGGGGGAATGTCTGGTGTCTCGTCTTGATTACCTATTGTGTACACCTGGGGTTTCCCTCCCTCATGTGTTTAAATAGTCCTCGTTTCCCCTTGTCTGGCGCGAGTGCGTTTTCGTCTCTTGTCCTTGTCCGTCACGTCCGTCGTTCCCCCCACGCCAGGTTTGTTTTTGTCACAGTTTTTGCCACAGTCTTGTCACAGTTTTGGTTAATCTTTATTTTGTTACTTTTTCATAGTTTTGCTTTGATACTTTGCCCACAGCTTTGATTTGTACTCATGTCTGGACTTCCACAGTTTTGTTAAAATAAACCTTGTTTCCCTCATCTCCGCACCTGAGTCCTCCCTCCAAGAACCCCCTACATGACATTATGTAATCTTTAAAGAATGTATCGAGAGGACCAGCGGAAAGTCGTGTGAAATTCACCAAGTGCAACTTATTTGCACAGCTGTGTATTTGAAGTTATATTCAGTTCAAAAGTAAAAGCCGAGGCAGTTTAAAGGGGCCAGAGTGGAAGATTACCAAATATGTCATATGTAACCTGTGGTCATTTTAAAAGTGTCTCAAAAAATACAAATAAAATGGGATTATCAATCTGACAATTCATCCAGCATATGTTATGGCTGGATGGAATATAATTAATTATTTATGAACAGAAATAATTTACATAAAACTGACATTTTTAATGGGGTCCTTAATGTATTGTGACAGCGATGTTCACACCTGCAGTCCTGCTGGTCGCTCTAACTTCATGAAGTTTGACTTCTTGCTATAAACTTCTGTACCTTGCATCCTCAGGCGGACTAAGACTCTTGTTCAAAAATGTCCAGAACAATACACAATTAGTACACAATCACATGCAGAAAGTGCAGGAAACAAATCAGCTATATTTGACTGAGATGCTAGTGGCTTAGGTGAGTAAATGGAGTGTTACTCTTGACTAATGTTGCATAATACCCCTTTTTTTTCTCCTTATCTGTTTTCTCCCCCTCTGGCCCTATAAGAGCCGGCCGTCACATCCTCCTGGCCTTTTGTGTCGTAGCCATGAACGTGACCGCTCCCCTGCTGCTGCTGCTGTTCACCAGTAAGGCTGCCAACATTTTTCACTAAGATCTTTACGTTTTACCGCAACAGCAGGTTCTGTCATCTCTCTGACTCACATTTCTGTTTCAGCCTGCATGGTGAGTGGAGGGTCTCTGCCCAGAGCCGTCTGGCATTTTGGGAGGATGATCACTTGTGCCCAGCCTGGCGTTAATCCTTTAATATACAATGAGTACGGCTGCTGGTGCGGATTCGGGGGTTCTGGAACTCCTGTGGACGACGTGGACAGGTCGGAAAGAGCCCTTTTAGTTTTTTCTAAACAGGACAAACTGCACCTCTGACACATTCTTCTTCTCCTGCTGAACTCCTAGGTGCTGTCGGGTTCATGACAAATGCTATGAAGCAAGCAGGAAGATCCCTGGATGCTCGGGCATTTCCGAACTGCCCCATATCATCGATTACGATTTCACCTGCTCCGGTCAGCAGGTTACCTGCTCAGGTAGGACCCACACTGGTAGTGAGCATGTGGCCACCAGAAATCTTCAACTGTGGTAACAAAGATGTCACGGATGGGTTACAGCAGGAAAATGGCATCTGTCTGTTTAATAGCAGCCTAATTAAGTAACAGATAGTCATGCCAAACGTGGTCATTTGTCCTTCATGCAGACTTTAGTGGTAATTGATACTACGCAGCTTTACTGTAAACTGAACATCAGACACAGCTGTCCACTCAGGCCTGTGTGAGTACTGTACACACAGTACCTGTATTTAAACAGCTATATATAGCTGCTGCACAGCACACACCACTCTCACACTGACATGTTACGCAACCCGACTCTTTCTCCTGTGTGTCGTGTTCTTCATGTTTCGTTATAGATTAGCTTTGTCGTTTTCACCGGCTGACTCTGCTCTCTGTCCGCAGCCACCAACGACAAGTGCCAGGCTGCCGCCTGCGAGTGCGACCGCGCGGCGGCCTACTGCTTTGCCCAATACGAATACAACCCTGACAACAAGAATCTGGATTCCAAAGTCCACTGTGTCGACTGAGTGGCACAAAAAATGTGACTTTTAACGAAGTTATATTCAAAGTTTAAAAGTCCGTACGATTTTTCTTATCAAATTTGAAGCAAGGGGAATAAGCAAATAGGAGACTCTATGAGATCTAAATAAAAGAAGAAAGAAACACCAGTGAGAAACAACATCTTTCAGATTATGAATTCCAAATAGTCTGTCTTTGTACTTATTTGGAGTTGAGGGTTAATCTTCAGTGGACACTGTAAAGAGGTTGTGCTCACCTCTCTAATACACATTTTAGATGCACACATATGTGTGTGTGTGTGCGTATAGATATAGATATATCTATGTGTATATTTGAACAAATCTATATACATTTATTGTTAGAATTACAGCACCCCTAAGCACCAAGATGAAAATTTTAACTAGGGAAGTTAAAGGTTTCTCCTCATGCATGTTGTATTTGGTTAACACTACAAAAGCAAAAATGAATAAATGATTGAAAAAAAGCATTGCATGCTCCTGTTGATGCATACATTCCTCCATCAAATTAAAGAGAGAGATAAAAAAAGCCAAGACAAGATAGGACTATGTATTGACACCAAAGCAAGACTAAAGCAAAACTAACACTCATATCCTAAGTGGAATTAATGGATTCTATAACTAATTATACACTTTCATCACGTAATAGATTCAGTCATTTTCATTTCTGATAATTCTATTCTAACAGGCCAAGCATGTCCCAGGGTCCGTCCTGTGCTATAAGTAAGACTTCGATTCAGCCTCAATTATCAGGAATGATTTATTGACAAAGTGACAAACAGCATGAAGAAAGATGACCCAAAACATACTTTTGCACAATCAGACTGGTAGAAAACAAGAACAAAAGCCATAAAACACATAAAAGAATCTCTGAAGAATCATTTCAGCTGGTGTCATGAGAGGATTTTAGTCCTGTATCAACCGAACAATACAAAGAGCAGCCGTGTCCAACAGCACAACGTCAGAAATTCAATATCAGACACCCGCCCTGTGCTTCTGCCTCAAATGGGCTTGTACAGAAGAGTGGTCACGTACTTCTTCTTGTATCTGTGTGTTGCGCTGAGAACCATCACTCCGTCCTAAAGCACAATTAGAGGAAAAGAATTCAGGCACACATCAGGATTAAATTAGCTTGTGTGCAAAAAAAGGTGTAACTACAGCATAAACCATTTTTCACTATCTAAATGGAAGAAATTTAGATCACAAAGACACAAGAGAGGATCAACCCATTTTTTCCACAGTATTTTATGCATATAATTAAGATGATTTTCAACCATGTATCTGTTTAAATTATGATCACAGTTTAATCCAAATCTTCGCTATATAAATATTTGCTTTGTTTAGCTGGTCATCTTCACGTTTCCCCTTAATTTAGCGTGACCGGCAGTTATGATGTTTCTGAGTCCGTTACCTTGATGGAGAGGGCATACAGGTGATTGAGCATGACATGGTTGGGCTCCGGTAGCAGCGTTGGGTCACACTAACGGGAGATTCAAAGTCAGGTTCAGCTGTAATCACTTGATAGCTGCAATAACTGGTGTACTGAAGAGAAACGGCATCCAGTTGTGACTTACAGAGATTCCTGTGTCCTTATTGAGCAGCACTTGGAGCAGGTGGGGCGGTAAGATAGGGGGCTGCTTGATCTTGTCGTCTGTCTTGATTACATATGGGTCCTGTTGATAGGGGCCTGGCGGGGAACTGGACAGGTCTACGGAAGAACAGTCACATATGACAGTTTTATAAGAGACTTCTCAGACGTTTGAATAATCCGAATGAGGAAAGGAAATCATCTGAAAAGTCCAAAGGTTGCAGGTCTGGTATTAACTTGAAAGGTTCTAGTGGTTTGGGTCACTTTTTACCATACATGTCCGCCGAATCCTCTGAGTCAATCTTGAGGGCATCAAACACTTCAAAGTCCGTCCTTTTCACCTGTATGACGTTGTTGACCGTTCCAGTTTTAGTGGTCATCACAGGCTATAAAAGACCAGAGGCCCAACTTTGAGACTGAAGCTTGAGATTATTGACTTTTGGAAAAACAAACAAACAAACCAAAAAAAACTATGGTAACATGAAGTCTTCACTCACCCCGTTTGGGTCCAAAGTCCACTGACCGTCTATGCAAAACTTGTACTGGTGCTCCCCCTCCGGCAGGTCCACGATGGCCACAAAGTTCTTCTGGCTGTGTTTGACCAAAAGCGTTTAGTCCCATTTCATTTAAACATGCAGTTTAAACAAACAATCCAAAACTGTATGAAGCAGTTTGTGTACCTCCTGTTGAGCGGGATCTTGGTGGCCCAGTTGTTAAAAGATCCAGACACGAAGGCTTCCTTGGCGGAACCCGACCATGTGAACACGGTGGGTCTGGCCAGCGTTGGACTTTTACTGTCGCAATCCAGGTCCTGCTGCCACGCCAGGAATTCCTGGATTTCCTGCGGGGTCTGGGAGGGATGATGCCAGTGTCTGACCGAGGCGTGCTAATGACAGCGGCGTGTCTGTTACCCAGCAACCCTTCCTGTCCGAACAGCCAGCTCAGAGCTCAGCATCTACCTAATTTAAAAGCTTTACGGAAGTGGGCAGACTATTCTGTTCAAACATTTTGGTCATTTTCACAGACAGGGAGACGGAACATTTCTTATTGTGGCCAGAATTTAGAATAAAAAAATAAATCAATGGGCCATCTTTCTGAGAACAAAGAAAACAATGTGAAATGCGATTTAAAGGCTGGGTTGCTGGTTGCTTACCTTACACTTTTTAACATTTTATCCACTGACTCTTGTGCTTTAAAGTGCTTTAATTGCTCCATTTAACGCCAAATTTCCTCAATGTAGACTTTGATTAAAGCAGCAGTGAAAAAATATTAGATTACTATTAGCAGAATTCATGCCATTTACTGTATTTTGAGTCTTCCTTGTGCTGTTGTTTAGGTTATTGGACACTTCCTTGTTATTTTTTTAAGTAAACAACTGGTGTGCATGGCTCTGTGGTCCTGACAAAGGGTGTGATACCTTTGGGTCATCTCTGTGGAACAGGTCTGCATCCTCTGAGCTGTCCAGCAGGAGGTTGGGTCGAGCCTCTTTCCCCCCCTGCTGTCCATCCCTGAATGACCTCTCACTGCTGGACCGGTCGCTGCTGCTGTTGCCCATCCTGGCGGTGTCGGACACTGAAAAACACACACTCTGCCTCAGATCCAGACCCCCCCGACCCCCCCCCCCCTCAATCTGCGCCAAACCACTGCGTAAAATTTGCTTTGCTTCAGTCCAGGGGGTTTCGCAGGAGGGGGGGGGTGGGGGTCGTTGGGCTGCAGAGGGCTGCGTAACAACGACAACAACAACAAAAAAAACTTACAAACAATCCTCTGAGCGCAGTTTGGGGGGGTTGGGGTGACTCTGAGGGGCTCGGTCCGGCGCAGGGCGCATCAGTGTGCGGCTCAAAGGCACAAAGGT